GGCTGCAGTTACAATAGTGGGAGCTGAGCTTCCCTTGGCTGATAGAAAGGTCTACATTTAACCATGAGAAACTCAAGGTTAGCTGAGCAGTGTCTCCCAATAATGACAGAGTCTGTACACCAAGCTTTGTTAATATAGATGCACAGCCCTCCTCCTCTGGTCTTACCGGAGTCCTCTGCTGTTCTGTCTGCTCGGAGTGTGTGGCGACCGGCTAGCTTGATAGCATCGTCCGGTACTCCGTTGTTTAGCCATGTTTCCGTGAAGATCATGACATTCACCATAAGTCTCTTACTGTGGATGATGCGAATCGTAACTCGTCCATTTTGTTCCAAAGACCGCACATTAGCGAGGAAAATGCTGGGTAACGGGAGACGGTGCGGTGTTAGCTTTAGCTTAGCTTCTTATACCTCCGCGCTTCCCCCGCCTTTGTTTTACGGTCTCGACGCCGCCTGCGAGCACTTCCGCCCGGCCGGGTAGAGTGCGTAGCCTCGGTGTTTTGGCGATCTCGGGTATGAGTCGAAGATTGTTGATTAGATCGTCAGGGAGGTGTATTCCAATATCCAAAAGTTCCTGTCGGGTGTAGGATGTTAAGGCGAGGCTGTTCCGTACGAACAGACCCAAAATTAACAATAAAATTAACTGCAAAATTGCAAATCTGAGAGAGACGCTGGGCCTCGCGATGCGCTCGCGCTGCCATCTTGGTTTGTAGGTAAACTAGCATTGCTTCCTCCTCTTCAAGTGTTGTCTGCCGACACCAGAGGATACCCTCTCCAACAAGATGGACTCCAGCATTCGAGACAAACCCTTTCCTCTCTGCTTACATAGGAACTCAGCTCCTGCAACCAGAAACCTATAGAGCAGCGCTCTGGTCGAAGATCTGAATCCGCTACCCTCCTCCTACATCTGCCACGAAGGAACCCTGCCTGAATCTGTTGATTTAACATTCAACAGAGTGACGATCTAACCAACTTTGCAACGATTACCAGGAGTTACCCCAAGTAAGAGCTTTGGTCTGGGCAGAAATAGTTTCAGAAATAGTTATGTTTTTTTATAACCACTGATAATTATACATCATTGTTGACGAGACGTCACATTCTGTTTGTTATCTGTTGTAAGCTGCTGCATTTGTTTTATTGTAATGAACTGCTGAGTTCGCTTATGTGTTTAATGCTATGCTAGTTTACCTTCAGTCAACGACTTTCACAATCAGAAAGACCAGTGTACCCGCCGTTGAATCAAAGTCCGGCCACTGGCTTTCTGGTGTTTGAGTAACAGTTACTGAACTCAGCTCAGAGAGCTCAAACTATTTCAAAAGGCAGCCACACGGCTTCCTTTGTTGTCCACCATTTTGTCACCATGAAGAAGCCACATGGTGCATTGTCTCTCTCCACCATCTTGTTTTCTATCTCTCTCTCTCTCATCTACACACACACACACACACACACACACACACACACACACACACACACACACACACACACACACATACACACACACACACACACACACACACACCTCATTCACAAGACTTGCTTGATAATGTTTGTTGCTTAGATTAGTTTATGATAGTTATTTGTTTGATTAAGTTCATTGATTTTGGATTGATGTTGCTTTGTTTAAATAAATTCTGTTATAATTTAAGAGAGCAGTTGTTTGTGGTTACTGGTGTATTTGCATTGTGATATAAGCTGGGTGTGAGGGCTTTGTGTACGGATTTCACGCCTTCAATTTATTAAATATAGTTATTAATTATTAATAATATTAGTAATTAAGTAACTAATTTGAGACTGAGTTTGGTTATATTTCCCTGGTTTCAGGGTGGTGCCCCAATACTGATTAAACATAGTTTAATTATATTTTATTTATATTATTAATAATTAAATATAATTATTAAAGAATATAACCAAAGTTGACTTGATACAACCCAACACTTCCAAAAAAGGGCACATAACGCAGGGCTCGACATTATAAATGGCCTCTGGCCCGGATGAATGATTGACAGAGTCCAGCTGATTGCACGTTCAGCTGGCGGCTTCACTGCTGTCACTCCCGCAGGCGCACTCACTACACTGGAGTTGTACACTCACACACAGATTTTAGCGCAGGTTTTCTCTACTAAAACACACGTTTGGTAAAACGGTTTTAAAACCATCAGATCCCGACAAAAGCCTATCTTACATCAGAATTCAAATTTAAAAAATCACCAGAAAAGTTGAGAGTCACAGAAGGGCATGACGAAAACAGAAGGGAGAAAAGTTTGAGCCACAGTGACAGACAGCTGGAGGAGCTGGAACACATTAAAGTTAAAGACAAGATCCTGGTGAAGTTATTCACAAAGCATCTTAGCCCTTAAGAGAGCTCCTAAAGTAAAGATCTAAGGATGACGAGTTTCTTACAGAGAAGAAAGAAGGAGAGATTCCAGATCTATCACAGCCTCATATTAATATCACATTAAGTAGACTCTTACAGTTAGCAGCATGGTGAATAAACATGAGCACATAAATATTCAAGAAAAATATTGTGTATAAGAAAAATACACAATATTTTTATAATTAGAGCTCAATTTATTTAATAAAAGTTGTAATTGACTTTTGCATCAGAATGGTTCAAGAGTAAATTGGTGACTGTTATTTTTCGAATCAAAAGTAATGTTCCTGGGCCAGTGGTTACAATGGTCGGGCCAGTGATATATATATCACTGAAATATATATATATATTTTTAGACAGTGGAGTTTCAGTTTTATAGACTACATTTATAAACTTTAATACGATAAATATCGAGTCATATCGAATATCGACATTAGGCAAAAAAATATCATGATATCAAATTTAGGCCATATCGCCCAGCACTAGGCATGATCAAATACAGGATCAGAGTGGATTCAGAACAAGAAACTTCACACACATGTTTTGAGGAGCTCTGAGACTTATTTAAACTGAAGAAAAGGAAGAGGAGGATATGGGACCTTTAACACAGGACAGAGAAGAAGAATCAAACTGGACCTCAAATATGACCACCTGATTCTTTTCAGTTTAATTTTCCTCTCAGAGCTTGAAACTTTAATCAAAACTCAAAAACATCAGCTGCATTTCAGCTACTTTCATATTGGTAAATGCATTTTTTAAGACTAGGTGACATCAAGCAAACTATTTAATTTAGGATGGGGCGCTGGTAGCCTAGCGTTTGGTGCACACTATGTACAGAGGCTTAAGCCCTTGAGAGCAGGCGGTGCGGGTTCGAATCCAACCTGTGGCTCCTTTCCCCACGCTTTTTCTCTGTCCACTGTCCTATCTCTAAAATAGAGGCATAAAAAGCCCCCAAAAAATCCTTTAAAAAAAGAAATGAATTGAGGGTTTAAAAAAGGAGAATAAGAAACTTGAGTACAAAGTTTGAACAGTTAATCTGTACTGTATTGCTTTTTAAAAAAGCTGACTAACAGACAGCATGCAAGCGTTGGATAGTGTTGGATATCGCGGGGCAGACATCAGAGCTAAAACGGCGCGCTGCGTTGCTTTCAGGCTGTAAGGACGCTCCAGGAGTAAAGAGCATGCTGGCCGGTGTGGCATGCTGTTAGGACGAGCTGTAAGAAGTAATGAGAATGAGAGAAGGTCTGTGGCTTCCTTTCATAATGACGGGGCGTGTTCTTTAGAGGAGGCGGAGATAGTCAACATTACAGTCTGAGGTTTTCTGTGACTAAAACAGAGAAGCAATAACCAGAGTGAACTGAAGAGCAGCATCATGATTACTTTCTTCTGTTTCACCTTCAGTGTTTTTCTCTTCTCAGGTAATCTAATGAAAAGTCTGTTTACACATTTGTTGTTCTTCATTTCTGTTCATCCATACAGCTGCAGCCTTTTACTGAGCATGACTGTGCACTGTTGCTTTTCCCACAGGTTCGTCCCTCAGCCAAATAGTCGAGCAGACGCCGACGCACATGTTCAGCAAACCGGGAGAAAAACCCCAAATCAACTGTAAACATGAAATCAAGGACTACAACCGAATGCTCTGGTACAAACAGTTAAAGAACAGACAGATGCAGTTCCTCGGATACATGAATGTTAAAGACGGCTATCCTGAAGATGGAGTTCATGTGAAGATTGAAGGGAGCGCACTGGAACGCCAGAACTGCACGTTAACAATAGAAGCAGTGGAGCTGAGCAGTAGTGCGGTGTATTTCTGTGCTGCTAGTCTCCACAGTGCTTCATAACTTTGCTCCTCAATACAAAAACCTGCTGATACTGTTTTTATTTCATCTCAGCGCTGCACTCCACAGCCCCTTACAGCTGTACCACGACATACTAACCAATGTCGGCCTTTTTTTCTAATCCAGATCTGATATAACAGGAGGAGGTTTCGTATCAGCAGCAGTACTTCTGCGTTTGTTACACTTTCAGGATTTGTCATCATCTCTAAAATTCTCACACATTTCAGTCAAGAAAATTACAGAAATATAACCCTTTGTTTTTGTGGTGATTGGACATTTCTGTGTATTTTTCCTTGTTTGGTGCTTGTGTTTTTTTTCTTTCAGAGGCTGGGTGTGGCTTATTGGCTGCTGGAGCTCTCTGCAATCACTCACCTGTTCGTCATCTGTAATCACCGGCTGCAGCATTTATACCCTGGTTCAATTCTCCCAAGCTGTCTGATTTTTTCCGCCTACACCATGACAGATCGGCTTCTCAGTATCAGTAGACTTTTTTGTGCTTTGGATACCTGTCACTAATTATCCCTTGTCTTCTTTTTTCCCCAGTGCCTCCAACCATCGAGCTCCAGCGCCTCACCACCCAGCCTCTCATTCAAGCCTCACCAGCCTTCACCAGCCTCACTTCAATAAATACCCCTTACCCACCACCCTGTTTTCCGGTCTTGCTTTTGGGTCCACTTAAAAACCTTTAAGATCATAACAGTTTTAAATGAGATTTAAAGGCATGCCTGGTGTTAAACACGTTCCTTGAGCTTTCCATTCCAGCCAAATTAGTGGAAAGATTTTTTCTCAATGCAGACCAAAGCAAAACAACAACCAGCTTTCCATTAGCTTTGTCACCACCTGTGTTTTTTAGGGTCTCTTCACCTCTAAATACACATACAAGAATATTGTATAAACTGGTAACAGTGAAATAACTGCATGTGTAATGGATATAAGATTGTGCACTAAGTTAAATTAATAATACATGTTAAAACTAGTGTCTACGTTGTATATCCTTTAAAAATGCTAAAAAGCTAGTTATAATTTAATGTTAATTCATGCTGCTAAGGTTAAGTTTAAAAGCATATCGGTAATTGATTGGTTTGGTCTTAAGCTTTTGTTATTGTTTTACACTTCCGGTTTTACGCCAGCAGGGGGAGCGTGTTGTCTGAGCGTCATTCATTACACCATTGAATGAAAGCCAGCAACAACGTGTTTGTTTGTTTCTTCTTTATTTCTCCCCTTACAGGTAAGAATACTGGTTAAAAGTGAATAAAACCAAGTATAAATGTGTTGTAAGTTTCCGGGAACAAGTTAGTGATATGTTTTACAAATATACAAAGTAATTTCAGTATGTTTATGAAGCAGTTTAAGCATGAATGTGTTTGCCGTGATGCGTGCATGCTAGCTTGAATCACACAGACAGAGCGCAATAGAGACACGTGTAGTGCGTCTACTGAGAGTGTGTTATTTAAGTTGTATCGGTCAGTTGAACAATTACAGTTACATGGTACAGTTTAAAGAAATATCACTCTGCAAGTGTATAATATTGTACAATGATAATATGATGTGTTATTGCATATTATTCATTACACCATTGACTGAAAGCCAGCAACAACGTGTTTGTTTCTTTCTTCTTTATTTCTCCCCTTACAGTACGCTGTACAGGGGTGTAACACATGCACTGCCTTAATTGCACACATAAGTTGTCATGACTGAAAAGACGACACTTTCAGCAGAATTAAAACTGCTAACTGCTCACTCCCTTCTTATTCCTGATACCAGTAAGTGCTTTCTGCCACTGACCAGCTGTAACTGATGGCATGCAGATACCCTCTCTACAGCTTACCATTTTAAGAAGGTTTAATCATTTCAATGCTTGCAAATTACACCATGGAAACAAAAAACAAAAGTATAAATATAAAGCTAAATGAAATACAGCAGGGTCCTGAAAAAAAGGATTCAACCAACAGGTGGAGGCACAGCTCATTGTATACACACACACACACACAGACACACACACACACACATTTATTTGATTTTAAACAATCCTAAACTATTTTTATTTTGAATTATAACCGTTTCTAAATCTGTTTCCTCCACATGTCAGGTGTGTGCTGTCTCATTTGAGCAGTCTCCTCCACAGATAGTGAAGGAGAACACTGAGGTCCAGATCACCTGCAGACATGATGATAACGTCCGCTGATGCTCTGGTATCAGCAGAGAAACGACGGCCAGCCGCTGACCCTTATTGGGTTTGAAAATGGGAAAAGTACCCCAAGGTACGAGGGTCAATTTGTCAAACAATTCATGCTTCATGCTTCATATCTGAAGGTCACGCAGAGCGACAAACTGACGTACAGCGTGTTCATCGTGAAGAGCTGTTTCTACGGAGCGTTTGTAGCTTTTCTGCTGCTCAAGTTTCAGGTGAGCTCCAGTTTAAATCCTCTCCTCTGACCGCTTTGGGATCTGTGAGTTGAATAATAAAGACGTGGTGTTCTTTCTGTTTGTTCCAGGGGGCGAAGCAGAAGAACTGAGAGCAGAGCCGACGCCTCACAAGAGGATTCTGGGAAATCTGCTCAGTGTTCATGTCTGTGTATGAAGTTAGCAAACCTTTAATCTTCAAGCTACTTTTAAAATGATTGTTCTTTATGAAACAAATCTAAAGGTTCTCCAGACTTTCCTGAGTTATTGGGCTGAAGAGGAACCCGGGATGTTGGTGTGGATGTGTAAAAATAAATGTTATGCAAAGGGGTGTTTCCATGCTTTCTGCACAGTTGAGTTCTGTCAGTAACTCAATGCACCTAAAAAAACATGACCTTGTTGCTAACACAAGTTTTTAAATCAAAGATATAAAATGCAGCGCTTCATAATGAACACAACAGAGTCTGTTTTTTTTTCCATTTTAATGTCAGAGAGTCTCGTTATGAAATTATCTGATTCCTGTTTTTGGATTTTTTTGTGAGTTGAAATAAATGAAACTGTAAATTTTGTTCATGATGATGTGTCGATAAAGGTGTTTCAACACGTGCACAAACATTCCTGAAATGTTCTGAGTGACCTGCATGTGTGAACGCCGACAGCCAACTTCATCCTGATATTACCCAGAATTCATCCTGCAAGCCCCCTACTAAAATGTCCGTGTGAAGTCTGGTCACGTCCATATTTGAAAGCATCGGATATTATTCAGGATATAACATGTGATCTCTGACGTTCAGGTCAAACAACCAGTCACACTGTTTTCTGATACTATGTGTAGGAGCCATTTTGTGTTTATCATTGGCATGTTTTATAATTAGATTTATCTGAATATATTATTTTCCACTAGGGACACTGAATGCACAGGGGTGTATATATATAGTAGCACAGGTGACAGGAAAGGGAAGGCACAGGTACGGGGAGCAAAGACAGTTCTCAACAGACCGGCATTCATGTTTCAGACCAGCACTCAGACCAACTACAATTCATTCATTCTACTGGCTACGCTTCACTGGAAATGGTATGTTTTTTGTTCTCATATCTCCATCAAGTCACTTCAATAAACTCAACTCAACGGCTGGAAAATCATTGTTTGCATCTGCGTAAGACTTCACCCCTACCTGTGTATTAATGGCAATAATTGGAGCAAAGGAAAAAATTGGAAAATTACCATTACACTATGAATACGTCCAATTAAACGCAGCATTGATATAAAGATACAAATGTCGTCATATCATCATTCTCTGATGCTTCTTTATTTTTGGGCCTTTATTTGAGAGATAGGATAGTGGACAGAGTCAGAAATGGGGGAGAGAGAGAGGGGAACAACATGCAGGAAAGGAGCCACAGGTCGGATTTGAAACTGGGCCGCCCGCTTGGAAGACTACAGCTTTCATACATGGGACATGCACACAAACCACTGCCCCACCAGCGCCCCAGACAGGGAGAATCTCTTGCTGTGAAGTGCATGTATGTGAACAGGAAACCCAGAGGATTTCAGGGGCGGACTCTCTATTTTCTGGAAATATTCAGCAGGAGTGTGAAAAAGGATTCAGATTGATCGCAGGCTCCTGAATTGAATGTCATCAGAATCAGGGTTTTCTTTCATAATGAGTAATAACTTTGGACCTGTTCACCTAATGGAGTGACACTCCCATGAGTGACAGCTGATTGTAGGTGCTGCCATCTTTGGTCTCTAGGCTCACACCTCCCACCTCACAGACTGTCAGAGACTCTTCTCTCTCAGATCATTCAGCTCTGAACACAACAATGATCACAGCTGTTCTGATCAAGCTCTCTGCAGCTCTGCTCTGCATCACAGGTACTCTACGTTATGAGGCTGAGGACTTACTGTTGATCACACAGAGGACCTTCATTTTGACATGTTGTTTTCCCCCTCCACAGGTGTAATCGACGGGAGTGATGTGAAACAGGCCGCTGTGCTGTGGGGGACGAGGGTCAGTCTGCCACAATGACCTGTGAGCACACTAAAGATGCTACTTATTTCCAGATGTACTGGTACAGACAGCTGCCAGGAGAGACAATGCAACAAATCGTTTTGATGACATCATCTGCCCCTCCTCAGTACTGGTCTGACTTCAGTGAGGACAAGTTTCCTGCAAAGAAGGACAACTTCTCGACTGGATCTTTGACTGTGGAGAAGCTGCTGCCTGCAGACAGTGGAGTGTATTTTTGTGCTGTGAGTCAACACAGTGAAGCAGGTGACTCTGACAGCTGTACAAATACCCCACTGATGAATACATGTATTAAAGACATCAGTGTTTGATTATCTATAGGGGGAGCTCTGGGTGCACAATAGTTCTTTCACAGCCATCAGTGTCCCAGAAAATGTGCAATGACAGGGTATCGATCATATTATGAATTTATGTCCTTGAAATGTGAAGAATCCAATTCAGAGCTCAAGTCATTTCATATTAAGTTTCCAATCATGTTTCAATTTGTTTTAAATTAAATCTTCTTGAGTTTGCCTAAGCAGCCCTTTAAAATCAAAGTTTCCGAGGCGCTGGGTAGCCGAGCAGTTATGTCGCCCACCCGTGTACGGCGGCTGTAGTCCTTATCGTAGCGGCAGAGTGCTCGAAGCTGACCGAGGAAAGCCTCGGGTTACGTAACATTTTATTGTGAATGTGTTGGTGGTGGTGAATGTTCAGTGGTTAAATAACTTTGTATAGCCTCACACATGTGACTGCTCACTAGTGGTGTAATGATGATCTATTTAAATTGACACATGTATTCTATATTAACTGTGATTTCAGATCTCACAGTAGATCACCGCATCCTGAAAATAAACTTAAAAAGATAAAAATCTCTTTTTAACACATTTAAAACAAATATTTAATAAATATCAGGCAAAGTGACATTAGTATGTTTTAGTGTTTTAAACGCACAGTATGTCAATTCTACCACCAGGGGGCTCTTAATCAAAACCATAACAGACAGATGAAGTTGGTGGGGAATCATGGGAGTGATTCTCTCTGCTACCCCCCCCGACTCCTCCCCTCTCAGGTCAGTTCAGTCTGTCGCTGAAACCAGACACAGAGAGGAGGAACAATGATCCGGATCATTCTGTGGCTTCTCTGCATCTCCTGTAGGTTTATATTCAATCTGTTTGATAATTATTATTCTGTGTCATCACTTCTGTCTTATAAAGTTTTTCTCTCTGAATCCAGGTCAGTCACAGGCCAAAGACGTCAAACAAGAGCCTCCATCGATATTTGGAAGTCCTGATGGTTCAACAACTATCAGCTGCAGCCATACTATAAGTTCATTTAATGTCATACTGTGGTACCAGCAGCCCACAGGCAACTCCAGCCTTAACCTCATTGGATATGTTCAGTACACAAATGCAGTCGTTGAAGATAAATTCCAAGAACGTTTCAATGTGTCTGGAGATGGCTCGAAGAAATCACAACTTCATGTAGTGAAACTCAGACAGGCAGAAGACAGCGGCATGTATTACTGTGCAGCTAGTACACACAGTAACTCGACCTCCTCCTCCTCTCTACAAAAACCCTCAGTGATCATCAGCTAATGAACTCACAGATAAGAAGAGGGATACACCTGCATCTCACTCCTCTCACGTAGGCTGTGGCAGGAAACATGTCGGCTCGGGTGGTAATACAGTTATAAGGTATCCCACGGTATTTAAAAATAGTAAAAGTTATCAGTTCCATTACCCCCCCCCCCCCCCAACAAACCAAAAACTGCTGCGCAATTCTCAAAGGCCAATAAATAAATAGTGTTTTTTTAGCTCCCCTGTCTGCGGGCTCGTGTTTTCAGTCGATCTTTCTGATACTGTAATGATTCTTTGAACTTGATTTGGGAAAGATGAAACATGTCCTCGTCACCTCGGTGTCAGCCTGTCTCTGCCACCACGTAGGACAAGGGAGCAACTGCGTCCTGTAGCCTGCTCACCACAGAATTTAAACTCAGCGTTTTGATTCATATTTCATTCTTTTATTACTGAAAGACAAAAATGAAGTCTCTCACTTCTCCAGAAGTGAGACGCTCTCATTGCCACCGCCATGTTTGTTTTGCTGATATGTCACTTGGCTGAGGCCGCGCCTGCACAGGTAGTAGGTAGCTGTCAGAAACCGGGGTTAGACGATGACACAGTGTGTTTCTTTCTGAGTTCTCCAGGTGGAAAACCGGCTTTCTTAAAATCTGGTTAAGGGCTTATCCACAGTTCCTGAAATCAGGATCTGATGTTTACATGCACAAACACAAAAAACAGTATACTTAAAAAAACCTGATCAAAACCTGGATATTCAAGTTCATAGCAGAGGCTGCTGACCATCAGATGTAACCAATCACATCCAAACACATTCACACACCAACGACGAAGCAGTGGGAGCAACTTTGTGTGTCTTGCCCTCGGACACATCAGACATGTGGCTACAGAAGCTGGGGATCAAACCCACGACCTTCCATGTAAACGCACCCATTCTCATTATAATGTTACTGTTAGACCATCAACTCTGAGGAGGCAACATGTTGAAACAAAGATTACTTCAGGGAGGCACGGCCGTTTTCTAGTCCTGTTTTAGATATTTTTTAATAAAGGAATCAAAACTGTGACAACAAAACAAGAACAAATCCCCTTTTAAAGACACGTGGTGGCTCATTGTGTCGACTCCTCCCCCTCCTCCTCCCCGTGCTGCTCCTCCTTTACATGCAGCCAGTTCACTGACATCTTTCTTCTGAAGTTTTCATCAGTGTCAGGATCATGTTCAGACTCCTCATATTAGCTCTGACGTTCTGTTTAACAGGTAATATAAGAGCAAACTTGTGAAAACTGGACTATAATATTTTCACTGAGGTTTATTTTTAATGCTAAAGCTGCTTCTTTTTAAATGTCTCTTTCAGAACTCTCAAAGAGCCATGTTGATCAGAAGCCTGCAGCGCTGGTCATACACCCTGGAGAAAAAGTCCAGTTGACCTGCAACCACTCAAACAGTAACTTTGATATGATCCAGTGGTATAAACAGTCTAAAGGGAAACATGACATGGCTCTGCTTGGATATGTACGTTACTCTTCTGCAACTGTAGAAGATCAATTCAAAGGCTTGTATAATGTGAGTGGTGATGGTAAAAATCAGTCAAGTCTGATTCTCCTGAAGCTGAGTGGATCAGAGAGCGCCGTGTATTTCTGTGCTGCCAGTGAAGCACAGTGCTGCACAAACTCTCCGTCTTTAACAAAAACCAACACCACAGGAGACACCACCAGAACGACAAACAATAAACCACTTTGTGGATGACTCAATCAGACAGCTGGCCTGACATGAGGCAGATTTTATTCACACCCATAAGGGTGCACTGTTTCTCCGCAATGTTTTACAGGAGTGATCATTTAACCTGGGCAGCATGACTTTAATACACATGTCCACATTTTGTTAAAGATGATTGACAGACGTGTAACCAATAATCATTCAGCTGTTTCAGTAAGAACTTAAGAGAAAGTGAAGTGCTAAAATCTAGTAGAGTTCTGCATGGAGGGTCTGGGAACTACTGCCTACAAATAATAAAAAAATAAATCAAATAAAGGCCAGCAAATATATTTTTTAACAATTTCTCAATTTCCTGATCTGATAAAATAACTTAAATCTGTTATTGATTAAAAATAATGCCTTCTTAATTAAATGTACTGTAATGTATGTGTATGGGACACAAAAACACCATTTTTTATTTTGGCCGGTGTATTTTATCATCTGCCTGCCACCTTGGCCGATGAGTCAAAAAGTGATTTTCGGACCCTGCACCCAGGTATATTTCAGACTATTTTCCCACAAAATCACCACACACAAGCTGGGGATCAAACCCTCAACCTTTCTGTTGAAAGAAGATGACTCTACCAACTGAGCCACAGCCGTCCCACTGAGCCACAGCCGTCCTTGTAGTAATAGTAATAGTAGTAGTAAAGTAGCTGTCATGTTCTCTGCACTGTACTCGGATGTGCGGACGCGAACTCCACCCAGGTCTCTTTTATTTTGTAATTTAGTTCTCGCAGTATCTGACTAAGATGATTCAAAACAAGCCTCAAAGTCAGTAAAGTAGCTGTTGTGTTCTCTGTGTTGTTCTCCATTTTTTTCTCGAGTCCGCCTAGTCTTGTAAACTAAGCACACTTCATGATCACATAAAGCCATGCATGTGTTGTATTACGACGCTTGTTCAAGAGGTAACCATGCTTAGACCCGGTTAGTCCTGGAGCAGTGTGAGTGCAGGTCAGCGGGGGACAGGGGGGAGGGGGAGGTGAGGGGAGTGGGGGTAATCGTGGGGGCCTTAGATTTGAGTGAGTCTGTTCCGGAGGTAGGTGTGTTCTTGTACTCCTCAGATGGTGTGCAGCAGTGAATGGGTTCAATGTTGAGAACAGGAGGTGATGACCCCACCCCCCTCAGTTTGCTGATACGAAGGCTTGCCTTCTACGCTATGAACTAAACTGAAGAGCGCCGTGGCAGAACCAGGAGTGACTGAACATTCAGAATGATGATCATTGTTTGCTGCATAACCTTGAACATTATACTGGTTTCAGGTAATCTAATGAAAAGTCTGTGTGCAGATAGATTTAAAGACATGGCAGTTTTCTTGATAATCTGTCACACTCCTGTTCATGAGGACTAATTCTTTAATGGTTTGATCTTTCCACAGTTTCCTCTTCAAGTGACCAAGTCCACCAGACTCCAAGAGACATTTACAGCAAACCAGAAGAACCAGCCAGAATACAATGTTCACACCAGATTCAAAGCTATAACGTGATCCTCTGGTACAAGAAGTTAAACAAACAGATGCAGCTCCTGGGATATATGTTAACAACCAACTCATATCCAGAGACAGACATTAAAGTGAAGATGGAAGGGGACGCGAGTAAAGGAAAGAACTGCACGTTAATAATCGAGCGAGTCAATCAGAACAGCAGTGCGGTCTATTTCTGTGCAGCTAGTTTCCACAGTGCTGCATGTCACTGCTCAGCAGTACAAAAACCTCCTCTTCATCTCTACTGAACACCTGGATTTCCTTTCTGATAATGTGGTTTATTTTCAGCCTTTTTACTGAGCTGGTGTTATGTGTCTGTGGTTGACATGATGCTAAGAGGAGGAAGATAAACTACGGCTCCGCCCACCTTATGACTACCTGTTCAGTTTGCTGAAAGGAGGTTTTATGACAAGAGGAGGCTGGAAAAAGTCACTGAGAGTATCATATAAGAAACATTATTACCAAACAGAAAAGGCAGCATGATCATCTTCTACCTAATCGTTCATTTGAACATGTTTCTGGTTTCAGGTAACGTCTTTGAAGGTTCAGTCAACATCACTTTATAGATTTATATTGTGCTGTATTGTAAAGTGCTGCTCCTTCAGTTCTAACTTGATGTTTGAGTTTGAACTCATTCTTATAAACTGTGTTTTGATTTTGGTCGATGTCTTTCCACAGGCTCCTCGAACAGTGACAAAGTCGACCAGACTCCACGGGACATTTTCATCAAACCGGGCAAAGATGCCAAAATCAACTGTAAACACAAGATCGATAACTATGACCGGATCCTCTGGTACAAGCAGTCAAACAAACAGATGCAGCTCCTGGGATATATGTTTACAACCACCTCAAATACAGAGAAAGACGTTAAAGTGAAGATGGAAGGGGACGCGAGTAAAGGAGAGAACTGCACGTTAATAATCGAGCGAGTCAATCAGAGCAGCAGTGCGGTCTATTTCTGTGCAGCTAGTTTCCACAGTGCTGCATGTCACTGCTCAGCAGTACAAAAACCTCCTCTTCATCTCTACTGAACACCTGGATTTCCTTTCTGATAATGTGGTTTATTTTCAGCCTTTTTACTGAGCTGGTGTTGTGTGTCTGTGGTTGACGTGATGCTAAGAGGAGGAAGATAAACTACAGCTCCGCCCACCTTATGACTACCTGTTCAGTTTTCTGAAAGGAGGTTTTATGACAAGAGGAGGCTGGAAAAAGTCACTGAGAGTGTCATATAAGAAACATTATTACCAAACAGAAAAGGCAGCATGATCATCTTCTACCTGATCGTTCATTTGAACATGTTTCTGGTTTCAGGTAATCTAATGAAAAGTCTGTGTGCAGATAGATTTAAAGACATGGCAGTTTTCTTGATAATCTGTCACACTCCTGTTCATGAGGACTAATTCTTTAATGGTTTGATCTTTCCACAGTTTCCTCTTCAAGTGACCAAGTCCACCAGACTCCAAGAGACATTTACAGTAAACCAGGAGAACCAGCCAGAATACAATGTTCACACCAGATTCAAAGCTATGATCAAATCCTCTGGTACAAGAAGTCAAACAAACAGATGCAGCTCCTGGGATATATGTATTCAACCACCTCAAATCCAGAGAAAGACGTTAAAGTGAAGATGGAAGGTGGTGCTAATAAAGGAGAGAACTGCACGTTAATAATCGAGCGAGTCAATCAGAGCAGCAGTGCGGTCTATTTCTGTGCAGCTAGTTTCCACAGTGCTGCATGTCACTGCTCAGCAGTAGAAAAACCTCCTCTTCATCTCTACTGAACACCTGGATTTCCTTTCTGATAATGTGGTTTATTTTCAGCCTTTTTACTGAGCTGGTGTTGTGTGTCTGTGGTTGACATGATGCTAAGAGGAGGAGGATAAACTACGGCTCCGCCCACCTTATGACTACCTGTTCAGTTTGCTGAAAGGAGGTTTTATGACAAGAGGAGGCTGGAAAAAGTCACTGAGAGTATCATAAAAGAAACATTATTACCAAACAGAAAAGGCAGCATGATCATCTTCTACCTGGTCGTTCATTTGAACATGTTTCTGGTTTCAGGTAACGTCTTTGAAGGTTCAGTCTACATCACTTTATAGATTTATATTGTGCTGTATTGTAAAGTGCTGCTCCTTCAGTTCTAACTTTATGTTTGAGTTTGAACTCATTCTTATAAACTGTGTCTTGATTTTGGTCGATGTCTTTCCACAGGCTCCTCGAACAGTGACAAAGTCGACCAGACTCCACGGGACATTTTCATCAAACCGGGCAAAGATGCCAAAATCAACTGTAAACACAAGATCGATAACTATGACCGGATCCTCTGGTACAAGCAGTCAAACAAACAGATGCAGCTCCTGGGATATATGTATTCAACCATCTCAAATCCAGAGAAAGACGTTAAAGTGAAGATGGAAGGTGGTGCTAATAAAGGAGAGAACTGCACGTTAATAATCGAGCAAGTCAATCAGAACAGCAGTGCGGTCTATTTCTGTGCAGCTAGTTTCCACAGTGCTGCATGTCACTGCTCAGCAGTACAAAAACCTCCTCTTCATCTCTACTGAACACCTGGATTTCCTTTCTGATAATGTGGTTTATTTTCAGCCTTTTTACTGAGCTGGTGTTGTGTGTCTGTGGTTGACGTGATGCTAAGAGGAGGAGGATAAACTATGGCTCCGCCCACCTTATGACTACCTGTTCAGTTTGCTAAAAAGGAGGTTTTATGACAAGAGGAGGCTGGAAAAAGTCACTGAGAGTATCATATAAGAAACATTATTACCAAACAGAAAAGGCAGCATGATCATCTTCTACCTGATCGTTCATTTGAACATGTTTCTGGTTTCAGGTAATCTAATGAAAAGTCTGTGTGCAGATAGATTTAAAGACATGGCAGTTTTCTTGATAATCTGTCACACTCCTGTTCATGAGGACTAATTCTTTAATGGTTTTATTTTTCCACAGTTTCCTCTTCAAGTGACCAAGTCCACCAGACTCCAAGAGACATTTACAGCAAACCAGGAGAACCAGCCAGAATACAATGTTCACACCAGATTCAAAGCTATAACGTGATCCTCTGGTACAAGAAGTCAAAAAAACAGATGCAGCTCCTGGGATATATGTTAACAACCACGTCAAATCCAGAGAAAGACGTTAAAGTGAAGATAGAAGGGGACGCGAGTAAAGGAAAGAACTGCACGTTAATAATCGAGCGAGTCAATCAGAACAGCAGTGCGGTCTATTTCTGTGCAGCTAGTTTCCACAGTGCTGCATGTCACTGCTCAGCAGTACAAAAACCTCCTCTTCATCTCTACTGAACACCTGGATTTCCTTTCTGATAATGTGGTTTATTTTCAGCCTTTTTACTGAGCTGGTGTTGTGTGTCTGTGGTTGACATGATGCTAAGAGGAGGAGGATAAACTACGGCTCCGCCCACCTTATGACTACCTGTTCAGTTTTCTGAAAGGAGGTTTTATGACAAGAGGAGGCTGGAAAAAGTCACTGAGAGTGTCATATAAGAAACATTATTACCAAACAGAAAAGGCAGCATGATCATCTTCTACCTAATCGTTCATTTGAACATTATACTGGTTTCAGGTAATCTAATGAAAAGTCTGTGTGCAGATAGATTTAAAGACATGGCAGTTTTAATTATAATCTGTCACACTCCTGTTCATGAGGACTAATTCTTTAATGGTTTTATTTTTCCACAGTTTCCTCTTCAAGTGACCAAGTCCACCAGACTCCAAGAGACATTTACATCAAACCAGGAGAACCAGCCAGAATACAATGTTCACACCAGATTCAAAGCTATAATCAAATCCTCTGGTACAAGAAGTCAAACAAACAGATGCAGCTCCTGGGATATATGTCTTCAACCAGCTCAAATCCAGAGAAAGACGTTAAAGTGAAGATGGAAGGGGACGCGAGTAAAGGAGAGAACTGCACGTTAATAATCGAGCGAGTCAATCAGAGCAGCAGTGCGGTCTATTTCTGTGCAGCTAGTTTACACAGTGCTGCATGTCACTGCTCAGCAGTACAAAAACCTCCTCTTTCTACATCTCAGCATTACAGCTCACAGCCCCCACTCACACCTGGAATCAGCCGTTAACCCCCCTCGGTCGACCCATTCACAAAGATCAGATATTATAAGAAGGGAAGGTTTGTCATGAGCAGCCAGACAAACTACACTCATCCTCCCACATCCTGTTATAAACAGGAAGTTACATTCAGTATTTCTAAATCGTCTCATCACACTAATAGGATTCCATTCCTTATAGTGAGTGATAGTGTAGCTGATGACCCAATCAAGGGTCCCTCAGAGTGGCTGCTTGATTCTTATTGGCTCAAGTAATATATATATTTATTTAATAGAATAAAATAGTAAATAGATTTCTATATGGATTTGAAAAGTCCATCCTCTCCGTCTTTTGCCTGCTCCACTTTTCAGAAAATGTGTGCTCAACAGGCCGTTTGGAGATTTTCCCTTCATGACATCACAAAGGGCAGTAGGCCCTCCCCCAGGTGGGTGACACTCCCACAGCTAGGTGTTTGTTCTGCCCTCTGAGTCTGCCTTCTCACTGTAAACAATAGGACATGGAGCGAGAAAGACAGAGACACCCAATCCCTTCGAGAGAGGGGGCGTGGTCACACAGCTCATTTACATATTTAAAGGTACAGACACAGAAACAGCCTGTTCTGAGCAGGGCTGAAATAGAGGGGTTTATAGACATGATTAGTTCTGGACGATATATCGTGAGGCTCGATTCAATCGATATTTAATTAATCCTTGATATGGAAAAGGGAACATCGATTTTATTTTTTAAAGGTTTTAAATTTTCTCGCGATATTCCGTTGCACTGCGAGATTTTCGCGGAAGCACTTGTTGCGCGGAGACGAAAGGGCGGCGGATACTCCACTCCTGCCGCTGAGTAGCCTAGCTCTTGTAAGCGACCAACACGGAGGAGAAAGAGAAAGATGCGAGCGAGGCCGAATTACTTCTGTTGGGCCTCAGCCATGTGTGTGGGACAAAGGACTCAGGCCTGTATCACAGTCTCGAGCCTGACTAGAGTTATTTTGGAGGCAACTAAACAAAGGGGTCTTAGCCCAGCAACCCCCCAACAGAAACTAACAAATAGGTGTGAAACGTTGGGGGGTGGGGGGCGTCTGAATTCTCTATCCTCATTGGAGGAGGCCTGAGGTAAACCCACAGGCAGCTCCAGTCTTTAAAAGTAATCACCAGGCATTGCTTCCTCCTCTTCAAGTGTTGTCTGCCGACACCAGAGGATACCCTCTCCAACAAGATGGACTCCAGCATTCGAGACAAACCCTTTCCTCCTCTTGGCTTAAATAGGAACTCGGCTCCTGCAACCTGAAGACCCTAGAGCAGTACTCTGGTCGAAGATCTGAATCCCGCTACCCTCCTCCTACATCTGCCACGAAGGAACCCTGCCTGAATCTGTTGATTTAACATTCAAGAGAGTGACGATCTAACCAACTTTGCAACGATCACCAGGAGTTACCCCAAGTAAGAGCTTTGGTCTGGGCAGAAATAGTTTCAGAAATAGTTATGTTTCTTTTATAACCACTGATAATTATGCATCATTGTTGACGAGACGTCACATTCTGTTTGTTATCTGTTGTAAGCTGCTGCATTTTTTTTATTGTAATGAACTGCTGTGTTCACCTATGTGTGTAATGCTATGCTAGTTTACCTTCAGTCAACGGCTTTCACAAACAGAAAGACCAGTGTACCCGCCGTTGAATCAAAGTCCGGCCACTGGCTTTCTGGTGTTTAAGTAACAGTTACTGAACTCAGCTCAGAGAGCTCTACTATTTCAAAAGGCAGCCACACAGCTTCCTTTGTTGTCCACCATTTTGTCACCATGAAGAAGTCACATGGTGCATTGTCTCTCTCCACCATCTTGTTTTCTCTCTCTCTCTCTCTCATCTACACACACACACACACACACACACACACACAATTTATTAAATATAGTCATTAATTATTAATAATTTTAGTAATTAAGTAACTAATTTTAGACTGATTTGAGTGATATTTTGGTTATATTTCCCTGGTTTCAGGGTGGTGCCCCAATACTGATGATATTGTTATTTATATTATTAATAATTAAATACAATTATTAAAGAATATAACCAAAGTTGACTTGATACAACCCCAACACTTCCAAAAAAGGGCACATAACGCAGGGCTCGACATTATAAATGGCCCTCTGGCCCGGATGAATGATTGACAGAGTCCAGCTGATTGGACGTTCAGCTGGCGGCTTCACTGCTCTCACTCCCGCAGGCGCACTCACTACACTGGAGTTGTACACTCGTACACAGATTTTAGCGCAGGTTTTCTCTACTAAAACACACGTTTGGTAAAACGGTTTTAAAACCATCAGATCCCGACAAAAGCCTATCTTACATCAGAATTCAAATTTAAAAAATCACCAGAAAAGTTGAGAGTGACAGCAGGGCATGACGAAAACAGAAGGGAGAAAAGTTTGAGCCACAGTGACAGACAGCTGGAGGAGCTGGAACACATTAAAGTTAAAGACAAGATCCTGGTAAAGTTATTCACAAAGCATCTTAGCCCTTAAGAGAGCTCCTAAAGTAAAGATCTAAGGATGAAGAGTTTCTCACAGTGAAGAAAGAAGGAGTGATTCCAGATCTATCACAGCCTCATATTAATATCAGATTAAGTAGACCCTTACAGTTAGCAGCATGGTGAATAAACATGAGCACATAAATATAAGAAAAATACACAATATCTTTATAATTAGAGCTCAATTTATTTGATAAAAGTTGTAATTGACTTTTGCATCAGAATGGTTCAAGAGTAAATTGGTGACTGTTATTTTTCGAATCAAAAGTAATGTTCCTGGGCCAGTGGTTACAATGGTCGGGCCAGTGATATATATATCCCTGAAATATATATATATATTTTTAGACAGTGGAGTTTCAGTTTTATAGGCTACATTTATAAACTTTAATACAATAAATATCGAGTCATATCGAATATCGACATTAGGCAAAAAAATATCATGATATCAAATGTAGGCCATATCACCCAGCACTAGGCATGATCAAATACAGGATCAGAGTGGATTTAGAAGAAGAACCTTTCATATTGGTAAACGCATTTTTTAAGACTAGGTGACAACAAGCAAACTATTTAATTTAGGATGGGGCGCCAGTAGCCTAGCGTTTGGTGCACACTATGTACAAAGTTTGAACAGTTAATCTGTACTGTATTGCTTTTTAAAAAAGCTGACTAACAGACAGCATGCGAGCGTTGGATAGTGTTGGATATCGCGGGGCAGACGTCAGAGCTAAAACGACGCGCTGCGTTGCTTTCAGGCTCTAAGGACGCTCCAGGAGTAAAGAGCGTGCTGGCCGGTGTGGCATGCTGTTAGGACGAGCTGTAAGAAGTAATGAGAATGAGAGAAGGTCTGTGGCTTCCTTTCATAATGACGGGGCGTGTTCTTTAGAGGAGGCGGAGATAGTCAACATTACAGTCTGAGGTTTTCTGTGACTAAAACAGAGAAGCAATAACCAGAGTGAACTGAAGAGCAGCATCATGATTACTTTCTTCTGTTTCACCTTCAGTGTTTTTCTCTTCTCAGGTAATCTAATGAAAAGTCTGTTTACACATTTGTTGTTCTTCATTTCTGTTCACCCATACAGCTGCAGCCTTTTACTGATCATGACTGTGCGCTGTTGCTTTTCCCACAGGTTCGTCCCTCAGCCAAATAGTCGAGCAGACGCCGACACATGTTCAGCAAACCGGGAGAAAAACCCCAAATCAACTGTAAACATGAAATCAAGGACTACAACCGAATGCTCTGGTACAAACAGTTAAAGAACAGACAGATGCAGTTCCTCGGATACATGAATGTTAAAGACGGCTATCCTGAAGATGGAGTTCATGTGAAGATCGAAGGGAGCGCACTGGAACGCCAGAACTGCACGTTAACAATAGAAGCAGTGGAGCTGAGCAGTAGTGCGGTGTATTTCTGTGCTGCTAGTCTCCACAGTGCTTCATAACTTTGCTCCTCAATATAAAAACCTGCTGATACTGTTTTTATTTCATCTCAGCGCTGCACTCCACAGCCCCTTACAGCTGTACCACGACATACTAACCAATGCCGGCCTTTTTTTCTAATCCAGATCTGATATAACAGGAGGAGGTTTCGTATCAGCAGCAGTACTTCTGCGTTTGTTACACTTTCAGGATTTGTCATCATCTCTAAAATTCTCACACATTTCAGTCAAGAAAATTACAGAAATATAACCCTTTGTTTTTGTGGTGATTGGACATTTCTGTGTATTTTTCCTTGTTTGGTGCTTGTGTTTTTTTTCTTTCAGAGACTGGGTGTGGCTTATTGGCTGCTGGAGCTCTCTGCAATCACTCACCTGTTCGTCATCTGTAATCACCGGCTGCAGCATTTATACCCTGGTTCAACTCTCCCAAGCTGCCTGATTATTTCTGCCTACACCATGGCAGATCGGCGTCTCAGTAGCCGTAGACTTTTTTGTGCTTTGGTTACCTGTCACTAATTATCCCTTGTCTTCTTTTTTCCCCAGTACCTCCAACCATCGAGCTCCAGCGCCTCACCACCCAGCCTCTCATTCAAGCCTCACCAGCCTTCATCAGCCTCACTTCAATAAACTGCTAACTGCTCACTCCCTTCTTATTCCTGACACCAGTAAGTGCTTTCTGCCACTGACTAGCTGTAACTGATGGCATGCAGATACCCTCTCTACAGCTTACCATTTTAAGAAGGTTTAATCATTTCAATGCTTGCAAATTACACCATGGAAACAAAAAACAAAAGTATAAATATAAAGCTAAATGAAATACAGCAGGGTCCTGAAAAAAAAGGATTCAACCAACAGGTGGAGGCACAGCTCATTGTATACACACACAGACACAGACACAGACACACACACACACACACACACACACACACACACACACACACACAGTGTCTGACCCTACATCAGTCAGTGACATTAAGTTTTCACCTCATCAGTTTTCATGGTAAGATGCAACATTTTAGCTGTGATCATTAGTGATGTGATTTTAAACAATCCTAAACTATATTTTATTTTGAATTATAACCGTTTCTTAATCTGTTTCCTCCACATGTCAGGTGTGTGCTGTCTCATTTGAGCAGTCTCCTCCACAGATAGTGAAGGAGAACACTGAGGTCCAGATCACCTGCAGACATGATGATAACGTCCGCTGATGCTCTGGTATCAGCAGAGAAACGACGGCCAGCCGCTGACCCTTATTGGGTTTGAAAATGGGAAAAGTACCCCAAGGTACGAGGGTCAATTTGTCGAACAATTCATGCTGAGGAGAGAGGACACAACGAGAGGAGCTCTGATTATACACAAAAACCTGTCACACTCTGCTTGTATTTCTGTGCTGTAACACCGTGATGTGGTTTGATGCCCATCCCTCACTAAAAACTGTGTCTCTTTCCTGTTCCAGAGATGTGAGTGTTTGCACTGGAGGTGGTGCCTCTATTAATACAAGCTCGTTATGAAGGAAGCTGTTTTTCTCCTGTGACTGCACACATTTAGAAATGTCTCCAGCTGCAGTCAGAGTTCTGCTCATCTTGATGATTTCATGTAATGTCATTAACTCCTGAACAGGAATTTCATTTGTATGATTTCAGGGAGGCTATCGTGACGTCAACTGCTCCTAAACTGATGTGTTTCTCCCACAGATCGAGCGACAGGTGTGACGTTTCAGCAGTCTCATCCCAGAATAGTCATCAACACAGCCAGGATAGAAATTGGATGCAGCCATAATGATGCCAACCTCTACGTGATGCTCTGGTACCAGCAAACACAAAGCGGCCTGATGAATTTAATCGGTGACAGCTACCTTATCGGTGAACCCGACTATGAGAAGAAGTTCAAGGATCGGTTTGAGATTACAAGAAAAGATTTGACAACAGCAGCTCTGATTATTCCCAGTGTGACTCCATCAGACTCAGCTGTGTATTTCTGTGCTGCCAGTAACACAGTGATGTGGTTTAATATCAGCCCCTCACTAAAACCCTCCTTTGTTTGTTTGCTCTGTGACAGCTGGTAGAATCAGCACACACACATCTACATTACAGCTTAACAACAAGCTTTAATTAAATACATCTCGTGTCATTGTGTGGCTCTGAATTTTGTAATGATAGTTACGTAAAGTTACTTTTGTACCAGGGCTGCAAACAAGGATTGTCCTTATCAGAGGCCCAAGTTCAATCAAGTATACATTTTGTGCACACAACATTATATCATGCCATTTTTTACTTTTTGGTACTTCAGGGGCTCCGTAGTTTTTAGTTCAGTAATGTTATAAATTATTCACACATTAAACATAACTACACATGCACGGATTAAAAAAAACACATATTAAAGGCTTTATATGTGATTTTTTTGATCCAGCAGATGTCGCCCTTGAGCACCAGCATGAAACCAAAACAACTCACGCTGCATTGTTGTGTTAGCATGCTAATGCTAGCGATCTTTATTATGCTGGTATCTTCACACTGCATGTAAATTTACCTGAAATGAGCGTGATCTAGAAACACAGTTAAGCAGTGAGTACAGTATGTTATTCTTCTTTTCTCTAGTCCCTCAATTAAACAACTTTTATACACGAGGGGAGGAGTCAGCCGGCCGTCCTGGCGATGTAAACAAAGTGAAGATAGGACTCTGAAAACTCTGAAAACATCACAGACAGTGGGACTCGGGTGTTACACCCATTGTAGACAGTCATGACTCACCGAGTTATTTTCAGAGGATAGACTTGATTTATATTATATTTAAGTGTGAAAAATCACATAGAAAGACTTCAACCATAAAGTAGTTTACATAACCGGATACTGTTCACTATAGATACAAAAGGACAGCATCCAATTTAAAGGTGCACTATGGAGATCTGGTAATTTAAAAGTTGGAGAAGTTCATTCATTCTGTGCTATATTTTCTGAACTAGATACACAAACTTTACTCCAACAAAAAATGGGGGTCCCTGGAAGACTGTTTGGAGCTAAAAAATCAACTGGTAGAGTTTATGTTTCACTGTTGTTTAACTGTTGAAGTGACCATTAATGTGACGGTTTGGATCAACCGTTGAAGTGACTGTTAACTTTCAAAACAATACAGCTAACCGTCCTAAACAGTTAGCTCTACCACAGCAGTTGTGACAGAGTATTCAGTTGCTGTAAAACTATGAGGGACAAAAAATGACTAAAGTATAGATCAATAAATTCATTAATAAATAAATAAATGTTGGGAGAAATACATACAATAATGTATAAATAATAAATAATTAAATAAATGCATCCATAAATATATCAATAAATATATAAATGCTGAAAACAATACATCAATGAATAAATAATAAATACACTTTGTTAATGAAAAAGGCTATTTATATATTTTTACATGTATTTATTCATTTATTAGCGTATTTCTACAGTTAATTATGTATCAATGCATACATTTCCACATTAATTGAGTTATTAATTTATTTCTGTGTTTTTACATTTACACATCTAGTTATTTCTGTGTCCAGGTCGTAAGAGGAAAAGTAAATTTGCTTCTATCTGTTTTTCAAAATTGACCAATCCTACTTCAGTAATGTTAGGACGGCCCACTTAATTTACATATTTACTTTTCCTTGTACAACATGGACACAGAAATACATAAATATATTTATTTATATATTATTTTTTATATTTGTTGATGCATTTATATATATATATATATATATATATATATATTTGTTGATGCATTTATTTAATTATTTATTTATTTATACATTATTGTATGCATTTCTCCCAACATTTATTCATTTATTTATACTTTAATCATTTTTTGTCCCTCATAAAATGTCCACCAATGTCAAAAGAAAATCTTCAAGCAATTAACCAACTAGCAAATTAAAACTATAAAAAAAATAAAGGAGTAAGTAACAATTGTTCACTGTTAGCTAGTCAAACCTTAGCCGCAAAACTGTTAGCAGTTAGCAACCAATATCTTAGCCAAATATAGCTTAGCCCAGGACACAACACGATTAAAAGAAGGCAATTTAATACCTTGGAGGGATGAAGGTACAAAATCTGGAAGACTGAACAATTTGAAAAAGTATCAAATAGGAAAAAGTCGGAAAATAAAACTAAACTCAAGAGGATTAGCATTCTTTGCTAACAGTTTGAGTGCGGTTACGTTAACTGGTGACTTTTAGCCAAATGCGACAGTTAAGCGTTATTATGCTAAAATACCCGCTAAAAATGTCTTAAATTAAAAGAACATTACTTGTTTACTAACCACCTCCAACATTTGTTGTATCTTCGACGCACACAGAAGCTTTAAGCTGTTTTACATTTCTTTCTCCCCAGCAACCGTTTGACAGGGCTCGACCTCCGAACTCCTACCGGTCAGTGTACCGTGTGGGCGGGGCATCCTTGTAAAAAGCCCGCTCTACTCAATGCCGACCAATCACAGTCCACAGAGACTCAGCAGCAGATATTCATCCAATCACCGCAGTAAGAGGTTAAAGTTAAACACACACAAACTGAAAGTGAAAACATCATCACAAATGTTAAAGAAGTATAACACAAAGAGGCAAAAATAATTTAATTAAATGACTTTAAAAACATTTTAATTATTTTCAATTCAACTGATATGAAGAAAAAAAACATGGAAGACCTTTTATGGTTTTTCTACTCATAACATTAAAGAGTTTGATATATGAAAGGCATGGAGTCATGATGTTTGAAAGCATTTCTTTCTTCTTACACAGTGTTTAAAATATTTTTCAAATGAGTATAATGCCAAACTTTTATGGTTTTTGAATAAAAGTGCTGCAAAGAAAGCAGAGTCAAGCAGATTTTTTATTATCATCAAGATCAGCGATTATCAGAGGAGCTGAAGAGGAGGCGTGGTGGTGTGATGGAGATAATAAGAAAGTCCATGTTTGATGTGTCATCTGTTTGTCAGACATGAACAACATGACAATGCTCCTCCTAAATCTGAGTACAGACTGTAAAAGTCATTTGATCTGCAAATATGCATATATGCATATATATATAAAAAAAAAAAATCAAGGTTTTTTGGTACTTTTTATGCAAATATTTTCTAAATAGGACAGTGCACATAGTCAGAAATCAGGGAGAGAGAGTGAATGACATGCAGGAAATGAGCCACAGGTCGGATTCGAACCTATAGGCCACCCACTTGGAGGACCACAGCCCCTCGATAGGGCACGTACACTGATCACTAAGCTTCTGGCGCCCCCTATGAATTTACATTTAGTCATGGCTGTTGCACAGGTCTTAGTTTAAGTTGAGTTTCCAGGATGTGGCAGCTTTAATACACATTTGGACTTTTGCTGCTCAGTCTTACCATTCAAAGTTGATGTGACTTTTCTCTAACTGCTGTCTCTGTGATGAATTGATGCAAATATTGAATTCAAACTTTATCTCAACAATGACATTAACTGACTTTCTTCACAGGTAAAGTGGAGGGTGTTTCCCCTCTCGGGTTCTTACTGAAGGGACTGATGAGCTGACGACAACATGCACATATGATGCCAACTTATTCTCCAGGATGCTGTGGTACCAGCACAAACCAGGCAGCCGGTCTGTGATCCTTATTGGGAATCAGAGCCAGGTGTCTGTCCCATCTCAACTCCTCTGTTACCTTCAAAATCTGGTATTGGGACAACCACATGCAGAAGTGAGTGGATTGTTTTTATTTAGCAATTGTGACACCCCCAAGCTGCTCTTGGACCAAACCTGCAGAATTCACTTCCTCTCTGCTGACCCCTGTGCATCCTGTGCTTCAACACATCAAGGTAGAGTCAGACGGAGAGGACGTGGAGGACAAACCACTCATCAGTCACATCTGTCAGGGAGTGATCCTCTGTAAAAGTGTCTCCTGACAGTTTGTGTGAAGAGGTGTGACCAGCAGAGGCGTCCCTCCCTCTGAGCACTGATAATCTAACAAACATCAGTTTCCTCTCTTCCTTCCCTCAGCTTCTTTTCTTAGCTGTCACAGAAATAGCAGCAGCCGGCTCGTCGTCTCTCAGCAGAGCTGCACAGCTGCTCTCCCAGGCTCACCGAGATGGAGGCTGAGATACGGAGGAGCACAGAAACTAACACGCTGGAGGTTTTTGTATGATGCTTTCTCACCGTGGGGACAGGGAGCCACGGTGATACATTCCTATGGAGCCGCCGTACAAAAACCTCCTCCCATGAACACACAGTGAGCAGACTGCTGCGTGCTGCAGGAGAGCAGAAACACATGAAATCTGGAGGTGGACAAGAGGACAGGAGGCTTTAGCAGCACAGCGTGCATTCATATAGAGGAAACCTGCAGGAAAAGGTGTTTCTAACATCTTTAAGTTCACATGTTCACAGTCTGGATCTTTCTTTCTCTGCTCTTCAGAAACAACAACACTCGTGAACTCTCTGAAGCTCATCCTGCATGTTTAAACCTCCTTCATCCTCTGGATCATCACTCTGAGCGACATCGTGCACATTCTGGGACCTTTTGTGACTTTTTGTTGGAGGAGACTTTCAGTGTGACACTGGAACTGAAGCTCACTTTGGAGAGGGAACACGACTCACAGTTCTGGGTAAGTTGGAGCTTTAATCACTGACGTTCACTTAAACAGACTTCAACTAGTGAACAAGTTGTTTTCAAGTCAAAGACAAAACATGTTGTAGTGAAGAGTCTGAATTATTGAGCTGAACAGAGACACTGTGAGCTCCAGTTATCCTGCTTACTTTGGCCCAGGAACCAAACTCTCAGTTTTAGGTAAATATTTCAGTGTTTCACTCTCTTATGATGGATTTCATGTTGCTGCAGAGACTCAGTATAGATGGAAATATGAGACAAAGCTTCTTACAGATTAGTGTGGCAGAGAAAGAAAGAAGAGTTTGATGCTCAGTGTTTCTGCACTGTGACAACGCTAACGAGGCGTACTTCGGCCCGGGGACTAAACTGACTGTTTTAGGTGAGTCTGGGATGATTCAGATGTTACAAATGTTTTAGGTAAGAGAAGCTTTCTGCAAACACAGTCTGCAGATCAAACTTACAGAGAGACACCAGGTCAAAGGTCAGTGTCAGCTCGGAGCTTTTTGACGTTAAGATTCAGCACTGTGTCAACAACGAGGCGTACTTCGGCCCGGGGACTAAACTGACTGTTTTAGGTGAGTCAGATCTTTATAAATGTACAAAGATAAACGTGATGAGACGTTCTCAGGATCCTGATATGTTTGGGTTATTATCAGTTCAGCTCAGAGCTTTTTGACATGAAGCTTCAGCGCTGTGCTAATTACGAAGCGTACTTCGGTGCAGGAACTAAACTGACTGTTCTCGGTGAGTAAGACTGTTGAATTCAGCTCATAAAAGAAGTTAAACCGAGTAAAAGTAGAGCCGTGTTTTGGTTTTTTGAAGAGGATCTTTGAGAGCTGCTTCCTTTGCATTGAAACATTTGTGAGATTTGAACTAGACGAGAGGAGGGAGCAGCGTCTGGTTTGTTTTGAGTCACAGACGACTTCACTGTGACTCTGGTTCTTCAGAGGCTCACTTTGGTGGAGGGACACGGGTCACTGTTTTAGGTAAGGAACTCATTCTTAACATGAACAGTCTGTGATGAAAGTCTGCAGAACAAACTCGTTCAGTGTCAGCTCGCAGCTTTTTGACATTCACCTTGAACGCTGTGTCAGTCAGTCAGAGGCGTACTTCGGCCCGGGGACTAAAGTGACGGTTCTTGGTGAGTAAAGGGACGAGATGGGATCAGAAAACTTCACCTGTCGCACACTTAGAACGAGAGCTGGAGGCCTGTCCAGCATATTTAATGGATAAGTGAACAGAGAAGTTAAACAGGTAACTACATGAAGAGGGAGTTTGTCTGACTCGTCATCATCAGCAGGTCAATCAGATTGAAATCTTTTAAAGTCTTTATGATCATGAGAGAAGTCAAAGGAATCATCTGATGGTCAGAAGGTGACGTTAAGTGAAGGGAGATTAAAGTCTTAACGTTTAAAGAACGAGCAGAGTTTAGATTCAGCGAGCTCCAGATGAAGACAAAGAGAGTTTTTGTGAGGGTGGAAAGTCTCTGTGCTCCTACAGCGAGGCTTACTTTGGAGCTGGAACTAAACTCTCTGTTTTAGGTAAGAAAAGCCTCAAACAGAGCAGAACTCACTGGTTCTCTCCAGGTGTCCTCATTAAGATGCTTTAATAAGTGTACTGTTAGAGCTCGTGTGTGACCATGAACAGAGTCCTCTCTTTTTCAAACATGTGAAGGACTTTCTGCTCACTGTGTGTTCATGTCAAAAAAGCAGCATGGCGTTTTGTTCTGCTGTAAACGTTGAGAGCATAAATCAAACATTTGGCTGTGAGCCCGGATTATTCCTCTCACACAGAGTTCTTATCAGCTCTGTGAAACGCTGTGAGCTACCAGGCAGAGGCTCACTTTGGAGCGGGAACCAGACTCAGTGTTTTAGGTAAGACGACTAGAAACAGGACAGAATATATCATCAAGTCTGTAACTCCTCCAGGTCAGGGTCAAAGGTCGGATCTGATCTCATGCTCCTAAAGGATCTTAAATCAGAAGTTTAATGTCAGAGACGGCGTGCAGCTCAGAGGTCGAGGAGGTTTTTCTGCAGCTCTGTTTCAGTGTGAACTACATCCTGCTTACTTTGGAGCTGGAACTAAACTCAGCGTTTTAGGTAAGAGCATCACAAAAACTACAGAATATATCATCCAACTAAAGTCTGTAACTGGTCCAGGTCAGGGTCAAAGGTCGGTTCTGGATCTAATAGTCTGAGATGAACCTTAAATCAGAAGTTTAATGTCAGAGACGGCGTGCAGCTCAGAGGTCGAGGAGGTTTTTCTGCAGCTCTGTTTCAGTGTGAACAACAACCAACCTGCTTACTTTGGAGCTGGAACTAAACTCAGCGTTTTAGGTAAGACGACTTAAAAACAACAGAATATATCATCAAACTAAAGTCTGTAACTGGTCCAGGTCAGGGTCAAAGGTCGGTTCTGATCTCATTCTCTTAAAAGGATCTTAAATTAAGAAGTTTGTGCAGCTCAGAGGTCGAGCAGTTTCTCTGCAGCTCTGTTTCAGTGTGAACAACCTCGATGCTGCTTACTTTGGAGCTGGAACTAAACTCAGCGTTTTAGGTAAGAAAATGACAAAAATAATCACACACACCTCGTGATGTTTTATTGAAACTCTAAGAGAACGATGTTTTAGTCAGGGTGGTTTAAAGATGTCTTATAATGTTTTGTTTCTTGATCTCCTGGAGCGCTCACGTCCTGCTGAGATAGTTTGCAGAAAAGCTACCAAAGAAAATGAACATGTAGATTTACATACTGTCAAATGTAGAACTTTATACTTTCTGCTCTGTATTTTCCTGTAAATTAACAAAACTACATTTACAACAATCATCCTGTAATCTGCTCTGGAACTGTCAGATCATTCATGCAGCATGTTTCTCTAAACGTTGAATCTTTCTGTTTGTTGGATCAGTACATTTTTAATCTCATCTTCTATGATCTCACATTAGTTGATGATACCGCTGCAGAGAGACACATTCAGAGCATGTGTTTAAAGAGAATCTCCAGGGTGCCTGTAGCGTAAACTTCTGATTTAAGTTTTTTTTTAAATAATGAGATCAGGATCAGCCTTTAACTCTGACCTCTGACCTCTGACCTGCTGGAGATGTTCAGAAGGATTGTTGTGGTCAAGCGTGCGAGAGGAGGAAGATGGAGGATCAATTCTTGAGTCTGAAGTCAAAATGTCACAAATGAAAGGTTGAAAATAAATATTTTCTTTAATACGTTCCAGGAAGAAGAAACTAAATGATATCAGGAAGGTTTCTCCAATCAGAGGCAGAGGAGATGAGATATTTTGACTTGAGGAATAAGAAAAGAGGGAGAGGAGGAAAACGTTTTCAACCACACGGTTAGAGAATAAAGTCTTGATATGAAGTGTGGCGTCAAAGCGTCAGAAATGAAGCTGAAATGTTACACAATAAAGAATCATAGTTGTTCTCCTGAAAGTTAAAACTTATCTCCAAATGCTAAACAACAAGAATCATCTTTTTCTTTTCAAAAAGAACTTCAACTTTATTTTACTCTCCTCTGCCTCGCCCTCGTGAGCGTCTGCACAGACGATAAAGAGAAGGTTAAACTCTCAGTATTTTATTCCTCACTCCAAAAAAGTGAGAGAAGAAATGTTTTTAAACTACAGAAACCAGTCCATGAGTTTGGTTCCTGTTGTGTAAAGAGACATGAAATCAGCTGTTAGTGGATCAGAGTCAGTTTTCCTGCTGTGTTCAGACTCTTCTCCTGCTTCTTTTGGAGACAGAACCAAACTAAAAGTCCTGGGTGAGAGCCACAAACTGAATATTCATGTAAAAATATGTTGATATATAAATCCCTCTGAGTGTGAGATCTGCTCACTGTGAGCATCATGTTTGATTCAGAGTGATTCTGTGTCTTTCTGCACCCTGATGTTCACGTCCTCACTCGGCTCTGAAGACCTCAGACGCACACTGGAGCAGAGGTGTCAAAAGTATTGACATTGATTACTCAGGTAGAAGTATAGATACTAGGGTTTAAAAAGACTTCTGTAGAAGTTAAAGTATCAACTCAAGCTTTTTACTCAAAGTGTAAAAGTACTGGTTTCAAAACTACTTAAAGTATAAAAGTTAAAGTAATGTAAGGGGGAAAAAATGCCATTAAGGACAAAAGCTTAGGCCGCACCACAGCGTGTAGGAATGGTATATGTTTATACTTCTCATCCAACCACAATCAAATTCACTCTATCAGGACGGCGCGATTGATCTGGATAGGTTTTTGAAGGATGACAAGCCGGAGTGAAAACAAGCTGAAATGAAATAGGAGTAACAAGGCTATTTTTAAAATGTAAGGAGTAGAAGTAAAAAGTCTGCTGAAAAAGAATTACTCCAGTAAAGTATAGATACCCAAAATGTCTACTTAAGTAAGAGACACCTCTGCACTGGAGTGAGGTGTGACTCTTGAGGTTTGTTGTGGATCCGTCTGCAGCTTTAACTCGCTGATTTCTGTCCTCTGTGTTTTGCAGAAGAAGGACTTAAGGTCACTCCACCGACAGTCAGAGTTCTCCCAGCTTCTCCAAAGGAGTGTGGACACCAGAGTAAGACCATCGTTTGTGTGGCCAGTGGATTCTACCCGGATCATGTCAGCTTCTCCTGGACCGACAAAGAGGGCGAGGTCAGCTCAGGTGTGGCGACGGACAGCGAGGCCGTGCTGGAAGAAGGAAAGACCTACGTGATGAGCAGCAGGCTGAGGGTCTCTGCTGAAGAGTGGAACAATCCTGACAATGAATTCACCTGCACCGTCCACTTCTTTGACGGGAAACAAAAGCTCCCTTACTCTGCTTCAGTTAAAGGAATAGAAGGTAATAATCTGATTCTTCATCTGTTAGAAAAACAAACACAGCGACATGTTTCCTCGTCTGATTCTCGTCTCTTTTCTCCTGACAGCTGAAAGAAAAACCATCACCAGAGGTAAACGTCTTACTACACTGTGATGATCATAGAACTCATATAAACTGAATGTTTCCTTCTTTAAATCTCATCTCCATGTTTGAACTCTTTCAGACAAATATCTGAAGGTCACGCAGAGCGCCAAACTGACGTACAGCGTGTTCATCGTGAAGAGCTGTTTCTACGGAGCGTTTGTAGCTTTTCTGCTGCTCAAGTTTCAGTGAGCTCAGTTTAAATCCTCTCCTCTGACCGCTTTGGGATCTGTGAGTTGAATAATAAAGACGTGGTGTTCTTTCTGTTTGTTCCAGGGGCGAAGCAGAAGAACTGAGAGCAGAGCCGACGCCTCACAAGAGGATTCTGGGAAATCTGCTCAGTGTTCATGTCTGTGTATGAAGTTAGCAAACCTTTAACCTTCAAGCTACTTTTAAAATGATTGTTCTTCGGGGCGCCATATAGCCTAGCGGTCATGTTGCACGCCCCATGTACGGAGGTTGTGTCCTCGTCGCAGCGAGCGGCCGTGGGTTTGAATCCGACCTCTGACCTCCTCTCTCTTCAGCTGTTCTTTCTCATAAAAGCAAAAAGACCCAAAAAATATCTTTCTTTTTTTTTAAAGATCGTCCTTCACAGACGCTTCACTCTGAACGTCATCAAAGAAAATCACAACGATACCTTTAAAAACAGACGTGAAGAACGAGCTACGATCAGACCAGAGCTGCACACATGATCCATCTTATCACACTTCAGAGTTACAAAGATGTGTCGTGTTTTATTCTTTCTTTCTTTCTGTCCTTCTGTCACTGAAAACTTCACGTCTTTTCTTTCTGCTCTGTACGAGAATTATATTCAAATGTGTCATCTTTAATAAAA